ACCTACACATAGCCCTGGCCATATTTGCCTTCGTGGCACTTTGGTATCACCTGAAAAACCTGTTGCAACAGCGTGTGCTTCTTGGCACCTTGATCCTGTGGGGTCTTGATCGTGCAGGTCGACTTGCAATACTAGTTTGGAGAAATCTTAGCTCAAGGCCCACAACTGCCACCGTCGAGGTTCTGCCTGGGTCTGTTGCTCGCGTTGATGTTGCCGTGGCTCGGGGATGGCGCTTCCGCCCTGGCCAGTATATGTACCTCTACATGCCGTGTCTGGGCTTGTGGACATCGCATCCCTTCACGGTTGCGTGGTCGTCGACATCGGATTCGTTGAATAGGAACGAAAAGCGTGTCTCAGGTGACTCTTTAGACGCACTCACCGGAGGCTCACCGACTACGACCATGTCCGTCCTGATCAAGGGCCAAGACGGATTTACGAAGAAGTTGCTCCAGAAGGCGGAAGACTCCGCCGAGGGACGCATTCAGGCTATAGCCTTGGCAGAGGGGCCATTTGGTATGGATTTCATATCTTAAACATTGATCGTTGATGATTTTTTAAACATATTTGCTAACATCTCACAGGCGGTATCCATTCTCTCGCCTCATATGGTACTCTACTGTTGATAGCTGGGGGAATTGGCATTACCCACCCAATGTCATATTTGAATGAGGTTATCGCCACATTTACCGAGCAAAAGACAGCTACTCGCAAGGTGCATCTGGTCTGGATCGTCCGCAGTCTAGGTATGTCAACCCCGCCTGTTACATGTAATTGACCACTAACGTACAAAAAATAGACCACCTCAGTTGGATTCAAAGTTTCATGGCCGAAATACTAGGCCATGAATCCCTAGCCAGCCCACCAAACCCGAATGGCCACTCATACTTCCAATTTCCACGGCTCCTCCTCTCCATCAGCCTCCACATCACATCACATAAGGACGCGGTCGAGGAATACATCCCACAACCAGATTCGATGTGGATGCAATGCGCTCCGCCCAACGTACCGGTCAACATCATACACGGCAAGCCGTGTATGCAATCCGTGCTAGAAAAAGAAAAAGAAGATCAGATCGGTGCGATGGCGGTTAGTGTCTGCGGTCCTGGTGGCCTGGGCGATAGTGTGCGGGAGGCTGTTAGAAATGTACAAGGGGAGAAGACGGTAGATCTGTTTGAAGAGACATTCTCATGGTAGTTGACTTGTGTCTCTGAATATGTTATCTAGAAGCTCTGCGAGTTTTGCGTTATATTCCTTTGTAAACAATTTTGAGTTGAGCTCTACATGAATGCCCTCTGTGAGGTTTTAAGAATCGGTTCTAAACGTAGTTCAAATTTATGTGTTCGACTAGAAGTCTGATGTATACATTGTTGCGATGCTAGAGTGGTGGTTTGTAGACGCTCTGTATACTAGGTCTCAGTTGGCGAATCCGTTCTTAGTATAGAACCTACATTCCTTCTTCTCTTCCCTGTTTTTGACATACATCCCAGTAGACATGGGACCAAAGAATTTTATTTACGGGTTCGTCCAAGGATTATTTTATGTTGTATGATCATCCGCAAATCATTACCGGTCGCAGAGATCTTCATCATACATTCCAAACACTCTAGGGTCTCTCCTCTATTTTGCAAGCATCGAAAAAATCTTAACAGGTTGGTATCTCATTCTTCATTACACGCTCCATTTTGGCTAGAGCACGGTCTATCAAGTCTTCCACGAGTTCCTGGTCAGGTGTACAGGTAGCCTTCGCGTCACGAAGGCCCTGCACCCATATATCCCATCTTTCGCGTTCAAAGCCTTTCCAACCACGGTGTGAATACATTTCCCCCGGGCGACCATCGTATTTGTTGTATCTTCGACAGTTGAGTACATTTTCCCACAGCCTATCACCGGCACAGATTAGCCAGTAACACACGCCGATCAGACCAGCTGTAGAGGCCACTCGTTCGGAAAGAATGCCCTCTTCGAACACATGGCGAAGCCCACGGAGTCCCATATGAGATTCATCCATAGCATCACTGATCCACACTTGCAACGGGGAATTGTACTCAACATCGGCAGCTTGTGTCACTTTCGCGAGGAAGATATTGAGCTTTGCCCATCTGATTTGCTGTTCGGGTTCCATATCCGGGTCGTTGAGGTCTAAGGATAAGAATTGATTAGCGTTACAAAAGGCAAAAAAAAAAAAAAAAAAAAAACATAAAGAATACAGAATCCTATGTCGCTTACATTTCATCTGGTCAGACCATATTTCACGGGCCCAGAAAGTCAGGGACGGTAGATGTGACCAAACTCTGCTTCCATCTTGTGTTTTTAGGACCAACCCAGTCGATGAGTCAACGGCATTATACAGCTTCAACTCAGCCAGGAATTTAACCAATGGATCATACTGAGTGGTATCGATTCGCATAGCCAATTCAATGATAGCTATGAATGTTATTGCGTCGGCCTTCTCGATAGTACCTCCTGGGCCATAGTTTTCCAGTCTGTCCATTGTCGTGGCTATGACCCACTGTACAACATCATCCACTTCGATATCTCCATTGACAAGCGCCTCGAATAACTTGAACTCCTTGGACTCTTCGGCCCCTGTGAGCTTAAGCATCTCATCCCACATGGTGAATATTGGCAATTCTGTTCACTTGAGATGAAAAAAAAAATTTCGATTTACGAGGGGGCGGCAAAATCCTTGTCTAGCGTGGCGTGCTTAGGGCTAGACTAGACTACTGTTCCAGATAGAGTTTATTTTCGGATGTGGGTTCGGTGTGCGTTGTTTGTAGTGAAATAAATACCATTGAAGTCAAGCAATAATGAGAATGATGTGAATATAAATACCAAGACAGGTAGTGGATCGAAGGATCGAAGGATCGTAAGGAATGAGGGGGAGGGGGTTTAATTAACTCCAACACACATTTTGACCGTGCGGGCACATTAAATGGCACGCCCGTGCGGGGAGAGCCCCTTGAAATCCAAACCCGACTTTTTGCAATTTCCGCTGTATATGTCGTATATCTATCCCAAATACCGAAAGGCAAATATTTCAAAAAACCATAAGACACATCAATTTAACCATCACTGTGAAATTTGACTCTGTGCAGCAGCCCACTGGAAAAGTTCTGCGATCGAGTTGCTCACCGCAGCCGTCCTAGGAATTTCATGTCCACCGCCATGATCATAGGTGCGACGTTTCGTTGCCTCACAGATACCAGAGAGGTGCACACCAGCCGCCCACCGAGGATCTTTCGAGCCGTAAATATGTACCGTAGGAATGTTGATGTGGTAGGGACTTGTAATCTCACTCCGCAATTCGGCCTCCGAGAGCGCGCTGTCCGGAGTTTTGAGACCAACCCACCGATCCCCACCCTGGGCCAAAAGAGCCGCCGAGTGAGCTTGTTGATCTAACGCAGACCGGGATGCGAGATCACGTCTGCGCGCCTCGGCAGAAACATGGAAGCCCATCTCCTCAAGAACACCCAACGATGCACCTCCGCACACAAAAATAGCCGCTTTGAACGGCGGCGGGAGGTGGGGTGTCTCTTCCTGGTGGAATAGTAGAGCACTAGATCCCAGGGCGCAGCCTTGAGAGAACATGAGCGCGAGATCGTATGGGCCATTTTTGGCGATATGATCAGTCAGCCAGTTGTAGGTGGCTCGGACGGACTCGACATCGTCATTTTGCCAGAAAGAGTAGTACGGTGGACTGTAGAAGATATCTACTCCCGGAGCGGCGTTAGCCTCAAATGGGCCATCGACAAAGTCAAATTCAATGTCGTTGGGAAGTTTGGCGCGGAACGTGGCTGGGGGTGGGATATCAGTTATCTGGAAAGACCGATGGGACTGCGGGGGGAGGGGCTAACAAATTTGGGACTTGAAGATAAAGCCACTGGTCCCTCTACCATGGAGGCAAAGCACTTTCATGATGATATATTCTGGTTGAAGTTCAAATAAGAGGGAAAATTCTGTCGGAGGGGTTCAAGTTCATGCACATAAGCACTAACCGATTCGACCCCGCGATATGACGATTCGAGATAACGCCTTATTTTGAACCGTCAAAAGATGTCAAATCCGTTTGGTTTGGACTCGAATCACAAGAGATAGGTCAGACCATTGTTCTCAAATTGCTTTGAACCCTGGTTTTGTTTCTAGTCTTGGCTGATACCCCTTGCGCCAGTTAGGCGGAGAACCTCATTGACACCTGATATGATGGCATGTCGTGCTTGCGCATTGAAAATAACCTTGGGAATTAATAGAAATCTCCAATGTAGATTTAAGTTACTATGGCTCTGGTAGGTGTCCTGCCGGTTTGCTCCGTATATCAAGCCTAGTATATATAGTGACCGGGGTATGATATCATTGATCATTCTTTTCTGAGCATCTTCCTAGTCTTTCTAACACTTTATTTCTGAATTGTAATTATATACCAATTGTTTTGTCTTTTCTATAGATCTGCAATGGCTACAGTGTTTCATTTCAGGTGAATGATTGATGCAATATCGCCAATTTAAATGCATCAAAGCCTTGACGGCATTCGTGCTAATGCCAATGATCTGTGTACAACATTAAAATTTGGCCAAGAGACCAAATCAATGTCCAGAGTACGGAGTAGGCAGAAGGTGTATCGATTGGGGCCTACTTATCAGAGGGAATCGAAAGATGCACAATGTGGGTTTTCTGTTTTCGCGTGATGAAGGCTGTGTAGGTTGTGTAGCATATCCATGCGTGGCACATACAAACATAAAACACACTGTTTCAGGGGAAACGCTGTTAACCTACTGTGTAATTTGTAGAAGCGGATAGATTAAGACGGAGTCGGTGCAATATTTGTGACGATTCCCAAGAAAGTGACCAAGTGGAGGTATAAAAGTGGATATCCCAAGACTTCAAGGTTTCACTTTCGTCATATTTCTCCCAATTTGTAATCAGCAAACTATTTAATACTTCATCTTCTCCATATTCCATACTTCATATTCCAGTTTCCTTTATCTTATCCCCATACTACCACCATGAAGGCAGTCGTCATTACCCAACCCAAGACCGAGGGCTTGGTCACTGATCGTCCCATTCCCAAGCTTCGGGATGACTACCTTCTTGTCAAGACCGTCAGTGTGGGCCTGAACCCCACCGACTGGAAGCACGTTGCTTATCTCTCCCCTCCTGGTGTTCTCATCGGTTGCGACTATGCAGGCATTGTCGAGGCCGTGGGCAAGGATGTCAAAAAGAGTTTCAACAAGGGTGACCGCGTGTGTGGATTCGCGCACGGTGCCAATGCAGTGCAGCCTGAGGATGGCACTTTCGCCGAGTACATTGTCGTCAAGGGTGACTTACAGTGGAAGATTCCCGAAAATATGAGCTTCCAGGAGGCCGCCACCCTCGGAGTGGGCATCAGCACCGTGGGCCAGGGTCTGTACCAGAGTTTGAAGCTTGCACTGCCCACAGAACCCATTAAGGATGCGACTCCGATTCTGATTTACGGCGGATCCACCGCGACCGGTACCCTGGCCATCCAATTTGCCAAGCTCTCGGGCTACAAGGTCCTGACCACTTGCTCGCCGCGCAACTTCGATTTGGTCCGCAGCCTTGGCGCCGATGATGTTTATGACTACAAGGACGCCCAGGCCCCTGCTCAAATTCGCAAGGCCACCGATAACAACCTGAAGCTCGTATTCGACTGCATCGCGCTCGAGTCCAGCGCTGCCTTCTGTGACAATGCTATTTCCACCGATGGTGGTGAGTATAGCGCTCTGTTGAGCGTCAAAATTAACCGTGCCAATGTGAATGACCGCTTCACTCTGGCTTATACTACCATCGGAGAGGCGTTCTCCTTCGGAGATATTCCCTTCCCCGCCAAGCCGGAGGACAAGGCTTTTGCTGAGAAGTTCATTCCCATTGCTGAGGGTCTGCTCGCCCAAGGAAAGATTAAGGTTCACCCTCCTAAGGTCGGCGAGCATGGATTGAAGGGTGTGATCGAGGGTCTGAAGTTGCTGAAGGAGGATAAGGTCAGTGGCGAGAAGCTGGTCTACAATGTTTCCGAGACCCCGGAATAAGACACTACTTTCTGTCTACTGGATGATTTAGAGAACCAACAAAGCCACCATTTTTATTCCCATTATAGTATTGAATTAACATGCGAGTTTCATCTATCCCTGTAATATAGTTCCCATTAGTTGTCATTGACATTGTCAATGTAGAATCTTCAGAAAACAGGCTAGAATTTTCCGCCCATCACCTGCCCATCCTTTGTTATCTCAAACCTGATTATCAATCGAGCCATTCTGCTGCGTTTCGTACAGGGAGGGTCCCTCGAGTCCTCGCTTTGAATCCCACTTCCAACTAACTGTTATCTTGCCAGCCCAGACTAGTTCCAAACCAATTGCGATGGTTATCAATCGAACCTTTGCCCAAACATGCCGGGAAAATCAGGAAGCATATCAAACCTGATCACACAACGTTGAATAAACGTAAATTCTTCATAACGGTCTTTACCCTTCTAAATTAAGGCGCGGATACCTCGGCACTGAAGCTCCCCGAGGTCTGGGCGAAAGCCAATCAGATCAAGGCTCTGGTCCGCATTAGGCTTAGTCTCCGCAACAAACATCCCTGGATCCATGGAGAACCAGATAGTTAAACTATGTACTCCGTAGTTAGTTACTATATCCACATGTGGAGAGCATCATATGTGTCGTTCTCAGATTGGCAGTAATTTGAGAGCAACGGGATGATCAGTAATCCATTGACAACACCTGGGCACCGCTATGAAAATAAAACCCACGCACTCCAGGGCTGCCGGGGTATCTGCAGGCGCCCCGTCAGAGACACGCTTAGTAGTCAACACATTTACGTGAACCGCCCAGAATTTCCTCTTTTTCAAAGGCCTTATATCTTAGTTGGATGTCAATAAATTTATTCCAAAAGATAACCCAGTGCTCTCTCCGTTTCTTTGTGAATAGGAAGGACATAACCATTTCAAGTCCCGGGAAATTGATGCTAGTTGAAAATATATCAAACAATTTCATTCTGGAAACATAAATTTAGATAAGAAAATGAATAGATAGCAGCGTGTTGAACACCTTAGAGGCAGCACTGCATGGCCGACTTGGTGTTGAACCAGTCAGTCAAATGTTCCAAAATCACTTCAGTTCCACACTCGCATTCGCACTCAGCGATAGTGGCGTAAGAGTGGCTAATCCTGCTCGAGTCTCAGCGTCCTCTAGAGTAAGAGTTGCATTCTTTCCGCTCCCAATGCCCAGTGACCTCTTCACGGCCTTCCAGCTCTCAACGCACAACAGGTAGACACATGTACAACCAAGGACCACTCCCCACTCCCAGGTAATAGCATGATGTTTGAAGACCACTTGGTTGACAACTGGGAGGTAAATAACCGGGAAGGCAACGACAAAGCCAGCCATGACCGCCCAAAACAGGAAGCGGTTCCTCCAGAGGGTGGCGAAGACTGAGAATGTCTTGGGATTTCGGATGGGATCCATGTTGAACAGGGAACGAGAAAAGTGCTTCACCTCCCATGCTGTAACGAGGAGAAGGAAGGTGAGAGTGGCGTATGTTGTGGCGCGAGCCCGGAACACTGCGTCGCAGCTTGGGTTGTATTCTTGATTACATCCATCGCCTAAAGAAGACGTTCCTGATCCGGCGGCGTAAATGACGCAGACAAATGAGATGAGGCAAAGTGTGCCCATGAAGGTTCCGTATATCATTTTATCCACGATGAGCTCACGGGTGAACACACCTATTCGAAGGTCGTGTGGTGGTCTATACATGATATCTGGCTGGGCCTCTTCAAGTCCAAGACCGACGGCTAAGAATGAAGACGTAACAAGATTCGCCCATAAGATTTCCAGTGGAGATAGAGGGAAAACCGAGTCACCTCCCTTATCTTTAAAAGCAAGAGCGATCAGCAGGAGGATGACTTGTGCAATGTTTGAAATGAGTAGATGCATGAGGAACTAAAGGTGCTGTCAGTAAATCAACTTTAGTATCCATGAGGATATTCTTACCTTCTGAATGTTATCAAAAAGTCGTCTACCTTCTTCAACTGCCTTGACGATAGAGGAGAAGTTGTCATCTGTCAAAACCATATCGGCAGCCTCCTTGGCAACATCGCTACCATTTTTGCCCATGGCAATACCAACATCAGCCCTTTTGAGAGCAGGGGAATCATTAACACCATCTCCTGTCATGACACAGAATGCCTGACGCCGATGCATCGCATCCACCATTCGAACCTTGGTGGCAGGGCTGCAGCGTGCAATGACAAGAGGCAGTTCCTCAATCGCATCGATTTCTGCATCGGTCAACTTGTCGAATTCATCCGCAGCCATTACCAATCTACTGGATTTAACAACTGCTGTGACACGGTCAAGGATGCCGACTTCTGACGCAATTGCTGTGGCTGTTTTGATGTGGTCACCAGTGAGCATGTGCACTGTGATCCCTGCCATTTGACATCTGCGTACAGCTGCAGCTGATTCGACTCGAGGGGGATCATAGAGTCCTACGAGTCCTCCAAATCGTAGACTTGATTCAGCAGAGCTTCGTGGAGATATTTGAGATTCGTCGTCGGCTGGGGGTGTCTTGTATGCGATGCATAGCACCCGAAGTCCTTCGCCCGCCATCCGGTCGGCCGTGTCTCGTATGTTTTGCTTTTCTGCCTCATCAATATTGAGATGAGGAATAATGGTCTCCGGAGCTCCCTTGGTATACACTTCTCTGATCCTATCCCGTGGATTGTCATAGACAACGGTCATCTTCTTGATAGCAGAATCAAACGGATACTCTGTATGCAATTGAAGTTGTCTTTTCTTCATCACAGAGTCTTTTCCAAAGTCAAAGCGCAAAGCTAGAACATGAAGAGCAATTTCCGTTGGTTCACCCACAGCACTCCATACTTGATTGTCATGGTGGACAGTGGAAAGGTTGCAGAGAGCAAGCGCTCGTAGGAAGGTATGCAGTGCAGGGTTATCTTCGATAGGTTGATTGGAGCTCCAATCAATCTCATCAAGTTGGACCAGACCACTTGTCGGATCAAATGGGTCTGTAGTTTGGCTCACAGTCAACGTCCCAGCACCGGGGATCCATGCAGAGCGGGCTACCATCTTTCCCTGGGTCAAGGTCCCTGTCTTGTCAGAACAGATATTCGTGACACCGCCGACTGCCTCAAGACATTGAAGTTTTCGGACGATTACATTTCCCCTGGCCATTGCTTTTGTGCCCACCGCTATTGTGATAGTGAGGACAGCGATCAACGATTCTGGGATGACGGCAACGGCAACACAGATGCCATATATGAGAACCTCGCCCTGAACATCCCATTTATTGACCGAGAACACAATAATGGCGAGCAGAATTGCTAGTCCGAAAAGCAAGAGTGCAAATTTGCTCAGCTTCACTTGCAACGGCGTACCAACTAAGCCTAACACGTTCATGAAAAACGCCTTCATGCGTTTCCCTGCCTTACCGAGACGGCTCGAGTCACTAAGATTGGGCTGTGTTTGTAGTAGTTGTGCAATCTTCCCAACTTCCGTGTTCATCCCTATTGCGGTGACTATTCCCATTGCACGACCTTGTGTAGTGCTACAGCCAGAATAAGCCATGTTGGTTCGATCACCGATAGGAATATCAGACAATGATAGGGTTATATGAGGAGTTTTGAGGACGGGGAGGGATTCGCCTGTCAGAAGTGCTTCATCCATTGAAGCATTCATGCCATCGAACAAGCGCAGGTCAGCAGGGACGATATCTCCAACTGCTAGCTGGACTATGTCACCGACAACCAGTGACTCCGCCTTGACAGAGGCAATGCGACCCTCTCGGATAGCCCTGCATATTGGAGCGGAGAGACGATGCAGCGAAAGGATTGTCTGTTCGGCACGATAGTCTTGAACGAAGCTAGAAGATAAGTCTTAGCCCAAGTAATGTACAGGTTTTGAATCCGAATTACTCACCCCACAACTATATTCAAAACAATCACTGCCGTGATGACACCTCCCTCAATGTAATCATCGATTCCAAAGGATAGGGCCATGGTGATCAGAAGAACCTTGGTCTGTGTTAGCTCTATCTTGTTGGTGGCATTGATAGATCTATGCAGTTTAACATACTAGTGTCAGACTGTTAGACACCTGCCTTAGCAGTATCCCCCAGACGGAGACACCCTCCATTTCACGCACGGTATTCGGACCATCGCGCTGGAGGCGGGAGGCCGCTTCGGTGCCAGAGAGTCCATTTCTAATTAGTGTGTTAGCAAAAACGCTTGACCATGCTGAAGTACACCAAATATCAACGCACCGGAGATCTGTATGGAGGAGGGAGGCGAGTTCAGATGGTTCTATAAGATGGGCGTTCTGGCCAGGCCCTTCTTTACTTGCTTGAGGTTCAAAGGGCGTAGTATTATCAGTATGCGAGATAGACGGTTTGTCGGTATCGCAGGGCTTAGTATGTAGGCGGTTTGTCACATTGGGTTGATTGGTTTCCGTAAAAGGACATATAGGAGGCTCTGTCGATTCCTCGACATCGGGGGTTATCTCTACGCCCATTCAATAAGATTTTGGGAAGGAAAGCGGTGGAAATAAGCTAGATGATCTTTAAATCCCCTGATGAATGCCCGTCAACCTTGAGAGTAAGGAAAATGTATATTCACACTAGGGGGGCGGGTGGAAGTAACAAGATGGGGGAAGGATCTTGAAATGGAATTCGTATGCAACAAGTAGCCATTTACATTAAACGCTCACATGTTCACTTGCTTTCAACCAGAAGAGGGGGGTTTCCCAGGCTGTGAGGGGCAGCTCTGATCACATCGTGAAGCCACGATGTCATTGGGGCGACCCATTGTCGGAAATGCTTGGCTCCTCTGGACTCTGGCGGGAGTTTTCAAAGATACTGGTGTATAGTCCAGTTAAATCATAGGATCCCAGATCCTTACATTAGGATTGGTGGCGTTCCAGTCCGGGGTTGAAGCCCCAATGCACTTGGCTTCTAGGCAGTCGTGGCGTGCTATTCCTGGATTAAGGCTTACGGCTTATCGGAATTCCAA